CCACATGCGATTAAGGTGAGTTCAGGGCATTCAGGCCCTCATAGCTGCTTCGACACATTTGATTCCCTTGTGCCAGACTGAATCAAATCTGGGAACATGTACCTGTGAATCAACAGATGGTACCGTTACCAGGGTGCAAGAACATAAACATCTCTTGGTGTTAATGAAGACATCACCTCATGTAGCAGGTCAGAAGATACAATATGATGAATGTAGCACATAATACATATAAGGAAGACTCTCCAATGAAAGTGATACTTTTTTTTGTCTGTGGCATATTGTGTTAAACCATGTGGAAGAGACTCTGGTTACTAGTGTGAACATAAGCGTCTGTACATACAGCAGAGCAGACAACAAGTCCCTCCATGCCAGACAGGGTTGAGGTGTCCACTGAGTCAGCGAGGGTAGCTGGAAGGGACATGATGTTTCTTTTGTAAACCTGCCAAGAGTTGAAAGGATAGGCTGATCTGAGAATTAAGGATTAATAGAGGCTTAAGCCCCTTGACTGCTGCACAAATAGATGAGAGACAAGAGGGGAAGCCCCAGTGAATTCAGCATGACTGCGTTTTTACAGGTCCTCTGGGTTCATGGTGCTAAGAACCAATCTCTAATACACAGTTTGCTTTAGAGATAGTTATTTATATGAAGTCATCTGATAGAGGCGTACAAATGCGGGATTGTTTAATAATCCTGATATAATGACATTTCTTTATTGAGTAAGCCCTTGTACAACTCTGTACATTCTTGAAAATGTATATGTGGTACTTTCCCTTCATGACACAAAATTCACAAGGTGAAAAAAACCCAAAGAATTTTAATCCAAGGATGATGTAGCAATGATCTTATTCAGTATTTTGCTATTAAATAAAGTTGCAAAATCCATCCACATATAATGGAAATGCTATGTGGGAATTGTTGGCTACTGTTTGTAATTAGTATCACCAGCAAAAGTTAAGGCTTGCTCCAGATTCACTGTTGTTCTGGAACCGGCTTTTCCCGCTTGATGTTTTGCATGCTGTATTTACGTTTTTTTCTGCATTGTGTCTGTAGCTTCCTCTTGGATGCATGCTATGTATGGTCTGGCACCTGGTTGCTACCTTTTTATGAAGCCCCGTCTCCATGCTGTGTCCAGGAACACCCAGAACACAGCAAAATAAAAAGGAAATCAGAAAATCAAGACGGAGGGCAGAGTCTCTGATAAACACACTGCCACACACTTTTAGTGGGTCATGAGTGATGACTAAGAGGGATTACTTTTAAATGAGTCTAGAAATTTTTTTTAGGAAAATCCTGTGTTGTATACCTTTAAAATGGCCTGTTGTCCTTGAAGACAAATTTAGAAATGCTAATTGTTGACCCTTTGCCAAAATCAGGGGTGGTCCTAGATCCACGGGGTCCAGATTTTTCCTTAGTCATTAGTTCAAGGTCCACACAGTTTAATATAGTCAGGATCATTCTTGCGTTTGGCCATGTTGTCAAGCTAGTTTGCTGTCTCTGACATATAGCTCTCCATTCTCTCACTCGTTTTACAGCAGGAAACGGCACTTCAAAATAAAAACTATGTGCCAGAAATTCAAATACTTCAAAAAAGTGTGGTTTTTTACAAACTTGACATGTTTGCAAGTCACTTGCGGTTCATTCAGAATGGACCCGCAACCCACTTTCGGACCACGATCCACCAGTTGGGAACCACTGTCCTAGACAGGCGAAACATCTTTGTAGCATATTAAAGTATTTTTCTGCTCCAGATTTTGAAATGTTTTCTAAAAGTTTTACCACCTTAGCTGACACTGAAATGAACTGTTGAACATTTTAGAAATATGCTTATTTGCTTTCTTTGAGAAGATCAATACCACTGTCATATCTGTAAGCTAAATGTGAAGCTAAACCAGCAGGTGATTAGCTTAGCTTAGGTTATCATGAAGACTGGAAACAGGGGGAGACAGTTAGCCTGGTTTTGTCCAGAGTTCAAGAGCTTAACAGCACCTATAACACTCACTAATAACACTTTATACTATTTGAATAATCTGTTTTATAGGGAGTTACTAGCCGCAACTACTTCTCGGCTAGGCGGTGTAGCTACACCTTCGCTTCAAGTCTTTATGTTTAGCTAAGCTAAAGGTAGCTTTCTCTGTGAGTAATCTTCTCATCTAATACCAAGCATCACAGCAAGAAAGCAAATAAGCTTATTTCCCAAAATGACAAACTAATACTTAAAGTTTCTAGTCCGTAGCATGTGAAGTGGTATTTTTATGAACTGCAACTTTAGTTTTTATTTTTAATGACATGGCAAGTGTACTGTGAGTGCTGCTGAGCTGGCAAAGCAATAAAGATAAAAGGGATTGGAAGCTTATTTCCCTGTAGCCCGGCAAACAAGACACGGGTATCTCTATAATGTTACACAACATTAAAAAAGTGCTGTAAATAAAAATAGTAACACTGCATATCCTGGTGACAAATTTTAACGTGACAAGAAAGTCAGATAAGAGTCTGTCACAGTGGAGAAAACATTGACGGCCATATTTGGTATAGCAGGACACAAGATATCTGAGCAGGAAATGCGGGCTGGCGGGTTTTGGGACAGCTGAATTTAAAAACAATGACAGGCACTATAATGTGGTTTACACAGATGACAGAGAGGAAGGAAACTTGAACAAAGGGATTTGGTAAAGGAATCCAGCTCAAGAGCAGGACCTCCATTGTATGGCATTAAGGATGAGCATGAAAAAATACAAGCGTGGGTTCTGAAGACAAAGAGGCAGTCAACAGGGAGCGAGACGGAGAGGAAACAGGCCGGGACAGGCGATAGAAAAGGTTGATGACAATTCCTTTTGGGGAAAAAGAAGCTGTGTCTGTCAAAACAGATGGCAGCTGGTAAAGAGGATTAGACGCTGTTACTACTGTTTCCAACACCACTTCAGACTTATCAACCCCCAAAAACACAGACAAACACACACCACACACACACACACACACACACACCACACACACACAGACAACTTCCACTGTTTCCCCTCATCCCAACCCAACCCGGCCAACACTCGACCCTGTGTCACTGGCCTTTCTTTCAGAGCAACAAGACAGCTGGGATCAGTCGTGATGTCCTGCGTCACCATCTCAACACTACTCCGAGTCCCAACGATTTGGGAGTGTTGAGAACAGTATGAAGAAAACACAAGTATGAAAGTATGAAAACACAATCATCTTTTTCAGGCTGCATGGGAGCTAATTTTGGCCACCATTTCTCTGATAAGTGGGATCTGGAAACAGACACTACTCAGATAAAGTGTGATGGGACAAGAAACAGAAGCTTGCAGACGATCAGACATGTTGGAAACAAGCCAACAGCCCTGTTATTTGTGAGTAAAACTAAAAGGAAGCACAAATTGTTTACATGCTAAGCCCCAAATGTATCTAAGATAACTATAACTAAACTATAACTATATTCATCTGACTAATCTTGTTTTAGCTGTCAGGTCTTTTTTTAGTGTCGTCGCCATGCTCCAATTGGTGAGTATGATGTTATCATTACCAACAGGGACGATGGCTGAAAATACGAAAATTAGATCCAAGGTATTGTACCTTGGAAACCAGAATCTTTATGTAATGTGGTTTTTAGTGTTCAGTTACTCAAAGAAATAGTTTGATATTTTGGGAAATAAGCTTATTTGTTTTCTTGACGAGAGTTAGAAGCTCAGTACAAAGCTAGCGGACGATTAGCTTCACATAATGACTGAAAGCAGAGGGAAACAGCTAGCCTGGCTCTGTCCAAGGCTTTACAAGGTGCGGCCTGCCAGCACCTCCAAAGCTCAGTAGTTAACATGTAATATCTTTGTGTAGTCTGTACAAAAACTACAGTGTAAAAGCCTCAGGTTGTGGTTTTATTGGAGTCTTATCACCTTGAAGTCAAAGACCTAGCACAAAACGGCCCAGTTTTTGTATTAAATACACAAACAAAATGTTAACATAAAAAGTAATCCCTCTCAATCATCCCTAATGACCCACTACAAGTAAGTGGCAATCTATCTGTCTGCAAAGACCCTGCCCTTTGCCTGTATTTTCTTCTCATTTTGCTGTGTTCCAGACTATCTGGGTGTGTGGCCCCTGACCAATAACTTTACAAAAGACTAATAAAAAGATAGTGACCATAGAGTAGCAGCAGACATTCCAAGAGGAAGCTAGATAATTGTGGACATAGTGCTGAAGAAATGCAAATCACAAGGACACCAACTGGACTAGGCTTGCTCCAAATCAAGAGTGAATCTGGGTTTGGCCTTCGCTTTCACTCGCAAGCACTGAAGGAGAGGATGACGAATGACGCAGAGTTGACCTGTTTTCTGTCAGACAGGTAGGTGCTGGCAGTAGTTTAGTATTGTTTTTTTTCCATTATGACCAATGTAACTTTCCTAAAATAGCAGTTTGCAGTGTACACAAACAGTGTGAGGAGGGGCCATGTTTGATTGTTGTGTTTACAAACACGACTGTGGCTGCTAGCAGTGGATTCATATTTAGTTCGCACTCATGAGTTCTTTTCATCTCTCTGCAAGACAGTCAACAAGCACAACTGCCGAAATATCAAACTATTCCTTTAAGCCAGTGGTTCCCAACTGGTGGGTCGCGGCCCAAAAGTGGGTCACGTATCCATTCTCATTGACTGCAAGAGACTTGCAAATGTGTCGTTTGTATAAAACACACTTCATTTTGAGGTACAGTGAATTTCTGGCACAGAGCTTTCATTTTAAAGTATCGTTTCCTGCTGTAGAGTGACTGACTAAGGGACAATTACTTGACAGATGCAGAAAACTAGCTTGATAACATGGCCAAAGGTAAGTATGACGCTGAATATATTAAACAGTGTGGACATTGAACTGATGACTAAGGAGAAATCTGGACTCCGTGGCTGCACCAGCTGCTTGAATGCACATTGGTCTTGGCATATGTGTGACCATTACACATGAGCAAATGCACATCATAGGAAAAAAATCCAAAGACAACAGATCTTACTTCATCAGTTGGTTGGTTTATTTATCATTAGCATTGACACCAAATGTACTCTACTGTTTTCACTTGCTATCATAGGAGATGCATTTTGAATTGTAAACAGTGAAAATGATAAAATGCATTTCAGAAAACTCCTTACAAGCAGTGTATGACCAGGGAAAAGAGCAGATTGTACCTGCTCTTGCTCACCTACGTTTTTTTTTTTTTAACAATACATGTCATCTTATAGTTTTGAGTCTCTCATATTTACATAGATACAGCTGGGTCCCACATTCACCAGCAGAGACCTATGGGTTTTTTGTTTTTTGTTTGTTTTTAATGTGTTATCACATAGTTTTCTTAAAGAATTATATTTACAACCATAATGCGCCCCAGCTGCCTGCTGCCGGGGGTTAACACACAGTTAGAATCGCTTGCTTAAAATTCATTAAACTACTTATGGTTCTTGAAAGTTTACGTTGTAAGTCAACCTTATAGCTCTACGTTTTGTTTTTTTCTCTTAACAAATAAAGTTAATACAGAGCTCAAGCCGTTCGTCTTCCCCATAAAAATTTAAAATTATCCAAATAAATGAACAAAACCAAACATAATAATAAAATAAAATTAAAAAAAATATTGCACTTAAAGTTCAGGACAGCATTGGACCTGTTTGGTGGTTAAGAGGAAAGTGAGAGCTTTTAGCTGAGTGCTTTAGAGGAGGTGAAGGTGTCTGTAGAAGCATCCAGCGAGTTAATCTAAATAAATAACAACATGAAGCAACTGTTTTTCCTGCGACTACGACGTGAGCAACTTCTTGTGTATTGCTCAGTGGAGCTAGGGAGTGCAGGTTGGAACCCTAAAGCATATAAAAACAGTGAGTGTGTAGAAAAACAGAAAAGAAACCAAGCTGGAACCTGTCATGGCAATGTCCTGAGAATGCTTCCTCGATTAGTCCAGAATGAGCTACAACTTTAAAGGAAATGTCGTTTGACTGCACGGAACATTTTTTTACTTCTTCAGTTTTCATTCCTTGTTGTAAACAGTCTTTGGAGACAGGAAGCAAGTCGTCTTTTTCTTCCATTACTGGCTTTGAATGTGACTTTAAATGTCTTTTAATGTGAGAGTGACACACGTCTGTGTTTCATCACAACTCCAGTCCATCCGTTATTTATACGTGTTGTGTTCTTTGCCCGTCGCTGTCTCCGTCTTTGTCCCTGGTGAACTCTTCCCACAGTCTTGGGATGAACTGAATGAGGTGGAAGCTATAGAAGCTTTTAGAGGGTGTAGGTGTTTAACAGAGATGTGCGTGAAACAGAGCCAACGCTAGCTTTCATTCAGACATCTTTTTTTCCTCTTCCGTCATACAGATTGGAGGCTTATAAAAAAAGAAAATACACAAAGAAAAAGGACTTTGTGTCGTACCGACAGCTTTGAAGTGGCTTCACAGAGAACATGGTGGAGGAAAGGAGGGGATTTAAAAAGGAAATTAAGGGAAAAAAAGTGACAAAACAGTACCGGACTGTCTTCATGTCTGCAGGGTTTTCTGACCAACCCCTCCTTTTCTCCAGTACAACTGGACGAAAACTTAAAAACACTACTAAAAGACTGACACCACAACTAAAGAGAGACAGTGATCAGACAAGCGTCCAGCTCCCGCTCCAGCCCTCACTCGTGGGCTTTTTAGTAACATCCATGCATTCACCAGTCCATTCACTCATCCATCCACCTGTTAACTGTGTAAACTACATTCCTTTGCAGTGCCATAGCTTTGCCGCGTCCTCTCACACCATAACAACAAAAACACAACATAGTGGACAGGATGACATACACAAAAAAATGTAAAAAATAAAAAGGCAAACAAAGACCCTCACATCCCACCCACCCACTTTTTTTCAAGTCTGCCCCTTTTTTGTTCTCTCGTCATCGTCTTTCTCTTCTCCTTAGATCTTTTTCTGGTCCCTTATGACGAAGATGAAGTCGGAGTGGAGCTGGGCTTTTTTTGGTTGATTAAGTCCACGTAGAGTTCTGAGCGCAGGAAGCGGGGGTATGAGTCCTTCTCCATCAGCCCGTATATCCGCCTCTGCGCTAGGTCAAAGCAAGACCGTGTCACATTCTGCAGGTTGTCCTTAGTGTGATCTCTGGTGTACGAATCCAGATTTACCTGCAGAGGAAAAGAGCAAAACACATGAGGGAAGTGCAAAATCAAGCTGTTATTTTGAAGAAATAACAGCAGGGAAAATGCATGTGTTCTATTTTTTGCAGGAGGCTGTTTTGGTGCCATTTTTTCCCAGCTTCTGTATGTGTTGCGTGCACTCTCACTCACCTCTTTACACGACTGGATAGCGATGTATTCTGCAAAGATTTTCTTGGCTTTTGAGGCCATCTTGGACTGCGACTTGATCTTCTTGTATTCCTCACATGCTAGCCAGAATTCCAGATTCTCCTCGCTGAACTCTGTGCGCAGGAAAGCTCTGAATGCTGCCAGACCATCTGAGGGAAAGCAGAGAGCAGGGGGAGAATAAACAACAGGAGAGTTGACTGGAGTGCCATGGCAACCTCACAGCTGAAGCGCTTCTTGGAGTTTCAGCGCCTAAAATAGCTCCTGTGACGGCCTTTTGAGTCATGTGGTTGGAATAAAGTGAGACATGAAAAAGCCCTGCACATGTTCAGGTCCTCAACATCCTTTAAGTGACATCATCCACCCTTGAGGATGACATCCATGCATTCCCTTCTACCCATGCTGTGAATGAACAAAGAGGTGACTGTTTTAGTGTTGTGGGGGAAAAGGACTAATTGTGGCACTTTGGGCTTTTTAAGTTGCAGTCCAGTTAATGATTTGAGGAAGAAGGCATCTAGAAGAAAGAATAGCAGGAAGCCATGTCCACCCACTTCTCCCGTCTGCACCTTTCCGTTCCCATGAATCACCCACGCTGATAAGCAGTGCCGATGCAGGCGGTCAACTCTTAGCTCATTCTGGTAAGCAGGAGTGAGGTAAGAGGTGGAAGAAAGGAACTAAGAAGGGGGGGAAATAAAGAGGCCAACAGAGATGAATAGGTACCAGATGTGGTGTTGGCTTTGTATCAGGTTTAAAAAAAGGACTGGGACTGAACTGTGGAAGATGTATTGTGGAAACCAGAAATAGCAACACACTTGCGTTTTGCCTGATTTCAGTCTCCCTTCTTCTCTCTGTGTAACACATGGACTCTGTCCGTTGGGATTAGAGAAACTTGCTGCAAGCTGCCCGTTCACTGCGGCAGTGTGTGTGTGTAATCCATATATCAGTACATGCATATTTCCTGTGCTCACCACCCTCCCCCAACACCTCATGAAAGCACTGTACGTCTATATTCACCCACTTTCTTAAACAATATTGCACTTAAATACATTGCACAAATGAAAACAAAGACAGATGATTCCCATGTGTGTAAAGGAGCGAGACAATGAGAGACAAAAGAGAAAAACAATGAAATAAGGAATTAAAAGTTGCTTACATTTGTGTGTCAGCAGCTTGTCAAGTGAGTCCCCCCATTTCAGTGCTTCCTCCGGGGTGGGCCTGCAGATGAAAGCAGAGCGATTCTTTAACAAGCCCATCTCAGCCAGGTTTCTCATTGTGTGACCCATCCGCGGAACTTGTCTATGCTTGGATAGATGAGTGGAAACGTGGAAGTGGGTAATTCCTTTCCGTTGCTTCCTTCCACTTTAGTCTGTGTCTACTGATCTTCCCCTCTCATGCGGTTTTGCTTTGAGAAAACCAACAACGCTGTGAGCCATGAGTCTATCTGCTTTACCCTGGTGGGGGTAGGCTTTTATATTCCCTCTCAATGCAATTTAGAAGGCGGGAGGGGAGGGGCTCCAGCCGGCCAATGGGGATGTGTTGACAGGTTTAGAGACCTCCTCCCCCCACCAGTGTCTGTCTGCCCCCTGCTGCCTCTCATCCTTTCTGTACACTGCTGTAAAGCATGTCTCTTTACAGAGCTCAGCTTACACTCACTGTAATCCACATCTGAGGCCTCATTAGACACAGTAAGGAAAAAGTTGGTATGTTATTTCAGGTACATTTAATCAAATTGAACATTTTTCTGTGCCTTGTGGTGATGGATTTTAGTTTGAGCACACATGCTGACATCTATTTTCTATCACATCAACAAAAAATAAAGTATTTTCTTCCAAAATTTGCTATTTTGTCTCGCCTTTAGAACATGTTTGTACAAATACTGCATTTCTGTGTTGAAGCAGCTGCTTGGCAAAGTGCACTGCCACGTTCATACTGTTATATGAAAAATTATAATACAATAATATAAAGTATTGATTTTTTAATGTAATTTAATAGAGGACATTGATAGTGGCTGTTTGGGACCAAATGGTTTTCAAGTAAAGACTAAAAAGTTGCTCATCTTAAATACATTTACATTGTGTTAGCTTCCTGTGAAATCTAATGCAATCGCCAAAGTAAGGGCATGGAAACAATATGAGCCTTAGTTGATATCTGATATTTCATGTATGTGAAATATATTTGATTTGGTGATTCATTCTATATATATTAAAAAAATCCAAACAATCCCTCCTCCTGACATGACACAGTTACACGTTCATTCTCTCATTCATTTTATTGATGCCACACATTACGAGCACACTCCCATCACAGCTACTGCCCACATGTCTGCCTTCCAAGGCCAGGTCATTGCCAGTTGTGGCGAGACCCGGAATACAGTCTCACACACACCCACACATGCCCATGCTGTCAGGAAGTGGCCACTTACTTGACTGACTTCATAGATTTGTCTAACTTGCTGGCTGGGTTGCTTCCTGGGGATTCATTCCTCCTCCGCAGGAAAGCCAGCCGATTCTTCATGTCTTTGGCCCTGGGTGAGAGGAAGATAGGAGGAAGAGGGACAGAGTTGGCAAGAGAGGGAAGGGTGAAAGATTTATGAATACAGAGGGAGGTGAAGGAAAGGGGGCAGGACAAGGAGGAAAATGGGAGTAAGGATGAAAGGAGTGATAAAGTGGATAGAGGAGGTGGACAAAAAGAGACATGGGAAGAAAGTGTGTTAAGTCCAAGTCCAAAGTCCGGAGTTCAAACAATCCAAGGCATGGGAGTCACCATGTTCTTCAGAATTGTAAATCCACAAGAAATCAAACCCACAAAAGCCAGAAAAGGTGAAAATAGATGTTGTGTTGTTTACATTTTAGTCTTCAGCCAGGTATGCTGGTTTGGTGGGACAGAACTTTTCCAAAAGGCGGATGTCAAGCTCCCTATCCTCGGATTGTGTCAGCGTCGCGCTTGTCAATCTAATATCTCTAACAGTCTTTCCTGTAGATGTGTCCCTGGCAGGTTCCTCGGCAGGGACTGAGCGAATGTGGCAGAGAAGGAGGAGAGAGACTCAATCCTCACTCCTCTGTTTCATCACGCCATTCTCCATGTGCCTAGAGGGGTTGCTGAGAGGGAGCTGACCCAGGGCCGAGGCAACAGGGCACAGTGACCTCCTAACTCCTCTGCTGCAGCACCCGAAATCCTCCTGACCGCCCACCTCACCTGTGTCACCTTCCTCAAACCATCTCACACAAACACACAGTGCCGCGCTGCACATGCGCCACCTTAAATCTCACACAAGGTGATACACCAACCCCTCGGTTCCCATGGGCCCATTCAGAATCCTGCGCATTCCCATAATCCCATGGTAGGTGTCCTGGCTTTTCCCGACCTGGAGCACGAGCTGCCTCATTGGGATGTGACCTCACTCAACACCCATTTCCTGAGTCCCTACTTTTGATTTCCACTGTGGATTGGCTGGCCCGCTAATAATGCAGCGCAGCAGTGTGGGCTCGCTGGCCCTAATCACTGCAAGCTGTGCTACTGCCAACCCACAGCCCCCAGGAGAGCATGTACACCCCAAATTAAGAAACAAGGCTTCCAGTTTTAGACACTTATCATTCAAACGTGCACACACAGAGGGGGTGGAAGAACACACAACCGCAGATTAGCACAAACACTGTACATGATTATGCTCGAATGGGGATGAAAGAACGACCACACAAGCGTTTCAAAGACCCCCCCCCCCCCCCCCCCCCCCCCCCCCCCCCCCCCCCCCCCCCCCCCCCCCCCCCNCCCCCCCCCCCCCCCCCCCCCCGCACCTGTGCCAACTCATGCCCACTTCACTGGTGCTTTCATGCCAGTCACAGGTGTTGGAAAACTCCCAGCCTCCACCAGTGTGTGCATGTGTGTGTGAGAGAAGGGAAGTGGGAGAGAGATAATTTATGCATGCGTAAATGCACGGTGGTCACACAGGGCGGCTGCCGAACTGAACAGAGAACACAGTCAGCTGTCTGGTGTGAGTTTTTCCAACTGCCGCAGGAAAGGAAAGGTAGAAACATGCCCATATACACATGATACAACATGACTGCATGAGCTGTTGGGAGCAGCAGCTGAATAGCTCCTTTAAAATCAGAATGAGTGTGACTTTGTGAGTATATTGATTCGGGTGTGTTTGGGTTTGGGAGGTTCAGCTGGGGCAGATCACTGTAGCCGAGAGTCACAAGAGGCCTTTTTTGAAAGCGTTAGTGAGTTTCGGGAGAGTAAAAGTGATTATGAAAATGAATGTACTACACATGTAATGCTGTGCATCTAGAAATAGCTATGTGTGTTTTTTTTCTCTCAGGCAAGGTAAGGGAAAAAATAAAAAGCGATCGAAGGACACTCAAAGGACAAATTTCATAATGAATTCCACATCTAATCCGAAGGAATACCTAAACGTCCGCACAGCATCGCTGGTGGAGGGATGACTCATCCATTGATTGCAATAACGTATGTGTTCTGTACGAAGCCAGCTTAAACCAGATGCTGAGGGCCTCTCTTTCATTGGAAACAACAGGGTGCTCTAACGCAGTATCCCTGTAAATCGCTCACACTTCCCAGCCTGAAGGACATTATTACCCAAATAAAAAACTCTCTTGCTGTTAAATAAACTCATAACATCAGAGCAAGATTCATTAGATTGTGCTATTTTTAGGTTTCACTCAAGGCAATTAGGTCTTGAGCTGTGCATGTGTTCGTTAAAAAGAGCCTCTGTCTTTCCAGTGCATGTGAGGACGAGTATTTTATAAGGGCTGGAAAATATTTTGATGGCCTGACGAAAGACGCTTTATTATTTATGTCTGGTTTTATACAAGCTGAGCCCACAGGGGTATGGTGTGACAATGAAGTCATAGCAACAGTCACTTTAAGGAAAATGTATGTTTCTATTCTGCCACCATGTGGGTGTTAATGGAAATTGCAAACACAAACAGTTGACATTTTCCGCCCTCTTGCTACGCAGGCTGCTTGCGAGGCATTCCTCTACTTCCAATAGCTGGTGTCAGCCCTGAAAACAACTCCAGCTTACATCATGCAGTGATTTATCTTGTCACTTATTTTCATAAACTCAAATGCAGTGCTGACACTGTTATTGAAAACAAGTGATAGATATTGCATATTGTGTAGCTGCCTCATTTAATAAACCTCTGTGCATTGGCAACTGAGTAGCACTTTTTTCAGAATGCCTGCATGCTAGGGAGTATGTCATCAGAATCAGGATCTGGTTTAATGCCAAGTGGGTTTTTACATACAAGGAATTTGCTTTGCAGTATTAGTGCATAACATAAACGCAGTAAAATGAAAGTAATAGTAAAAGCCACTAAAATCAAGGGACATAAGTATAGAAGAAAACTCCATTAAAGTAGAAAATAATAATAAAAATACATGTACAATATATCTGAATAAAAATGAGAGAGCTGTGCAGGTTTCTGAAGTGGCAGTTTCTTCCAGCAACTGAACTGATAAAGCCATAAATGAAACTGCCTGTGTGTTTATTAGCTCAATGGGTGTCAACAGCAACTCCAACTTGAAGGGGGGGGGGCACATAATACTCCTCCCTCAAAGTAGGCAGGCACATTCTTTATCCTTTGAAAGGAGTCAATTATGTCGAGCCTGTGACCTCCAGACATAGAGCTTTGCATTGTTACAACACCAGACATTTGCAACATTAGCTACCTAAGTACAAACAAAGTGGAGAAAACTATTTACATGTAGAGTAAAACGCCCTCGAGTGAAACTCTAAACCCTTAACCCGGACTAAAAACGGCAGGAAAATGGGTGTGATACAGGCAGCCACACAGAGGAAGTACTCATACCAACCAAACCACAAACCACACTTAAAGATATTTATGTACGTGTTTTCTTAATTTTCACAGATGGGAAGTAGTTTTGCACTTGAGTCTATTTCTACAGCAATGTCATTTAAAAATGATACTCCAGGATGTTGCGATGTCTCGATGGCAACAATTACAGCAACTTCAACTAATACCCTTGAATTCTGGGCAACCTTTTCACCAATCACGGCAGCTTTACTTCCTGCAAATTTGACCAATCATAGCAGTAGCCCACATAACATCACCAAACTCACTTCCTGGTTGTAAAGATGCAGACATATGTGACACAAAACATTTGTGTCACATATGTCTGCATTCACATTTACCAACTGCAAAAGACCTGCAGAGCAATTCCCTGATGTTCTGTATGAAAGTGGAGGTAAGCTGTGGTATTACACAAACAAAAATCTTTAATTGACAAACACTTTTCTACCGCATCTGGATAATGGCTGAAATGCATTGACAACAGGTCAGAGAAATCACCACGACAGAGGCTGCTCTATTGCAAGTGTTGAAAGAATCAAGGTGAATCAGGTTAAATATGTAGGGTTGGTAGTAACATTGATGTAGTATGAAAAACAAACTCATCAGAGTTGCAATTTCACTGCAAAAACAAAACAAGAACAACGGCAAAAAATGCCTGAAAACATTGCAACATGCATTGCAATTTCTTAGCAAAGCTGCTGTGAAATCAGGCAACAATCCCCAAAAAAGCCATGGAAATCCTGGAGGGACTGGACACTGATCTTGTAGTCTGAACTTTATCTACCCAGTGTACTCTGAAACTCTTTATGTGCTAATGGCACTTCTCACAGTTGAGTACCTCTGTATTTAAAGTTGATGCTGTACTGTATCTGCTAATAACTCCCCAGCACTAACACCATTAGCAATGCACTCCATTTGATTTATTACAAACAACGACCCCTACACTTAACGTAATCTGCTAAAAGACTGACACGTGCTCTTTAGAGATTATCAAATTAGGATGATCTTTGATCCGACACGCTGCCACCCAGAAATGTATGCTCTACTGCCCCACAAGCACGTTAAATACATCACGTCCATGTTCGCAGCACTGGCATAATGTGTACAAACACTTGAGTGTCTGCTTGTTTCTGTGCGAGAGAGAGTGCCTTTTTGTGCTTAAGTGAGGGAAGCAGAGGTCTTTAGCTCCGCAATTATCTGCAGGTTTCCGTACTCTTTATTCCCTCTTTGCTTGGCTCACATTAGACGCACTAATAGCACCCTGCTGGCTATTCCTGGTGTTCTGAAAAGTAGGCTGCACTCCCAGGGAAAGGCTCTGGGAGCACATGGGCAAGAGCTGCAGACAGACATACTGCAGATCACAATGTACCACACAAGCACAAGCTAAATCCACTGCCCCACTTCATCCCACTTTTGTTGTTTGCCACACGAGGCTTTGTTTCCCACAATGACAGGAGATCGACCTTTGTGAAACCTGACCTGTGAGATCTGGGGTGCAGCGGACTGAAATGCAGATGGTGAGAGCGGCGGCCCAAGGTTCAAGTGTGTTTTCATTCCCTCTGCTGCTTCCTATTTGCAGAAGGCTGTGTGTGCCTGTGAAGTGAATACAGCACATGACACACAAATGACACTGTGCAAGTGTGTGAGGCTGTTGGTGCATCTGTGTCTGTGTTAGTATAATGGGTCAAGGGTT